GAGCAACTGAGGCCAAGGGCAGTGGAAGCGCTGTGACAGCCAAAGTGCAGAAAACACGCGGAGGGCACACCTGGGGCAGGTAGGAGCAACACGGTGAAAGCGCCAGGGCTTGAAAGGGCTCTGGACCGCAGATCTCCGCGCTGACTGGGGGCTTGCAGGGAGTGGGGCGGAGCGGGGTGCCCCGAAGTGGAGGGTGAAGATGACAGACGCCGGGGGGAGGGCAGGGTGGGGCGACCCAGCGGAGGAGAAAGGGGAGTTTGGGTCAAAGCCGTGAGGGGACCGGAGAGAATGATGTTAGCAAGGACGGGAAGAACCACGAACACTCACTGTCCTGGCAAAATAAATTCCTACCACGCTGCAGAATCTAAAATATTTTTATTTTACTTTAAATAGAAGTAGCGATTCTGTTTTTAAAACTGACCTAAGGAGTGCTTTGGAATGCACACACATATCTTGATGTGTAAAATTGTTCAACAGCTCTTACAGTAACAGCTGGCTGGAGGCAATGTCAGTGATACCCCGGGTTGTTAAACAGATAACAGAAGAGACGCGGTTGAAATGTAGCGATTAAATACGATAATTCTGAGGCTTTTACTGACTGGAAAATGCTTGTGTTCTAATGGTAAGTGCTGAAGGTAGAATTTCAAGCCCCAATCTCTTCCCAACCAGAAGGGAAATACTGATTCACTCTATTCTCTTTAACACTGCTGTGTAGGAGTAAAACGGAAGCAATTCCTACTTTGCATCAGTAGCGCGATGACACAGCAGCGAAGAGAATCAGGCTCCAGCTGCACCCAGGACTGCGGGTTACTGCTGCCCACTGACAGGAGCGGGGCCGGGGTACAGCTGAGCGCAGAGAGCAGGGAAGGAACAAGAGTCCCGGCATGCAGGGTGGCCGGCAATGAAGCCTGGATCTGGCGCTCCCGGGCGAGGTTCACTGACTCCCCCACGGGGTCGAAAAGTCGCACCCACCCCAAGTCTGGGGGTTCTAAGGTCTTTTGGGGGTTCGGTAAGGGATGCGGGAGGGTGCAGCTGGGAGAAGATGGGAGACAGCTGCTGTTTTTTTTAGATTCTTGAGTCCGGTTCTGTGCCGCTGTCTCCAGGGTCAGTCAGAGACTAACGCAGGGTCAGGTCTCCAGACATCTTTCTGCCACCCTGATTCCCAGAAACCATGTGTTTCTCCGGTGACCTCTCACCTCATACCTTGCGTCAAGCTATAAAGTTATACAATTCATATTTGAATACCAGACATAAGTGAAATCACGTTTTAATTATGCTTTTAGTGATATATACTAAGACGATGCATTGTAATGAGAAAAGAAACGAAGTAATTTTGATGAAAGTCCTATTGGCGGTCACTTATGGAGAAAGATTCTGATATAATTTGATGTTTCACTTCTTAGTGTGGTTAATGGGGGCTCATTTTATAATTCTCAAACTCTACATCAGGGTTATCTGCCCTCACACTGACCTTTCACAATTAAAAATATGGAAAATACTAGAGAAAAGTCATAAAATACTTACATTTGATGGAAAAATGCTGGTAGACTACTATTCAGTAAATTTATTACTATTGCTCTTCAGAATTTCTATAATGTGCACAGCTCCTTTTATTATCAGAACCAGTCAACTTAATTGACTAAACTGTCCTTTGCTGAAATTACCTCCCTGCTCCATGCAGGTGAAAAGTACCTGACCATTTTGAAGTCTTCATAATGGCACTCTGGGTACAGAGTGAAGGGTGAAATATGTGCCTCCCGCTGGTCCAGCAGTCTGCCCAGAGCACAGTACCTGGAGGGTCAGGGTGAAGGTCACCTCGTTTCATTTTACTGAGGGGGTGGGTTTCTACGCTTAAGCCCAGCTCCTGCTAGTTTTCAAATGTTGGTCATTGAGAAAATTTTGGTCAGATCCAAAATTATTGGCCATTCAAAAACTCACTATCTAAAGCATTATTGCTCCAAACTGATAACCCAGTTTCCAGCACATTCCTATGACTCAGAGGTCCGAGGAGATGATGGGCAATATATGGACGTCTAAATGATGCCAGGCAGTAAGGTCCTGTCAGGAAATGCAACAGCAGTGATCTTCTTTTAGAACCTCTGTCGTGTCCTGTCTCTCTACTGAGCACAGTGCTGGGTGGCAGCTGAGAATCTCCAGCACATCCCCTTCACCTCTCCTAATTCACAGCCTTGCTGTATCTAAGCCAGGCCTGATCATCTTGGAGCCACAGATGGCAGTGCCCAGGGATGTGCAGGTGAGTGGGCGTCAGTCCCCGCCAGCCGTGGGTGAAGCCGGCAGCCGACAGCGGTGAGAGGCGCCGTGGTCCGCAGGGAGTGCACCGGGTAGGTTCTGGGCGCTCTGTCTCGGGTTTCTGAAACGCTCACAGCCTGTCTG